GATGGACTCTTCTCTCCAGTGGATAGCACTGTCTATGAAGCTGCTGCTCAAGGTCTATGGGGAGGAGATTTTGAGTTCCCTGGAGGCACACATCTGATCAGTAGTGTGTGTTACATATCTGTGTCTCCTACTGTTCCTCAACTGGATAAACCAGTGACTGTAGAGCTAGTACATTGTGCTCATTTGAGGTCTGAATCTCAGAGTGAGTATCTGAGCTTTGTAGTAGCTGAGGTTCAACCTGGTAAACAGACCGGTCCTTTTAAGTTTGAGTTGGTACGAGGAGGATCATTCTCAGCTGAGTCTCAGACTGGTACTATAGAATTGAAGAGTTTCTCACTGGTTGCTATTGTGATGGGTACTGTAGCAGTTGGTGGTGTGAGTGTTGCTGCTGGTCTTGCTGCTGGAGCTGCTACTGCAGTGGCTGTTGGTGGTGTTGTTGGAGTAGCAGTAACTATAGGAAGTTTAGCATTGAGTGCTGCTTTCAAGAAAGGTTAGTGCAGGTATAATTGTATCATTTTTTATTTTAAACTGTACATTGTATTTCTAGTTCCTTCATTTCATTGCCGTGGTCTATTTTATTAGTAACGCGGTAGCGTTACTAAGTAGGATTCACCCCCAAACAAAATGGCTGCCACGACTTTTGCAGCCTTGCTATACCTGGAAAACGAGCTCCTATGCTTACCAGACTTTATAGAGGACCTTATCTTGACCAGAGGACTCGAATGGTACAACTAGCGTGGCTCTAGACCTTGTCTAAGCGAAAAGTCAAAAATCGGCGAACCGGCCGTTTTGTTCAGCCACCTTTTTTCATCTTCATCATCATCATGATCTCCTGTCAATCCAGTTGTCGGTCGATATATCAGTCTTACCTGGTGATAGAAGGCTAATTCTTATACCATTCTACTCCAACAGGGTATGCGCAGGTCCTTGCCCCCTAGAATCATTCTCCAAGAAAGGAAGAAGTGATACTGTGACTGTTGGATCGCACCAGCTTACCTCATGCCGCCATTTTGTTAATTAAGAAGCATGTGCTCCAAAAAATTGGGCGTGGTCGCGCATGCTCAGATCTCAGAACTGGGAACAGCAAGTATTTTTGACCTAGCTATGCTTGGAATCAAATTGCAATACTTAGTGGAGGTTTCCAGCTAAGAGAAGGTATTAATCTTGCATATATCAAGTGTGTAATGAATTATTTTATTTCAAAAACACAAAACAATTAATTAATGTTATAATACTAGTGATATATATATGAACTTGACAACAGGAAGAACCTGCAGGAATAGCTACAGGATTGCTGGGAAGATAGAGCTTCTTGAACAAGGATTCATGTCAAGACTATAGTATTCATTTCACTTGTCGTCAGTATAGTAGATATTCCTTCACCATATCTATTCAATTCCATCAGTGCTGTCCCTCATAACTTAATGCTGTAAAATCATAACAATGACAACAATAATAAAGAAACTTATTGTTTGTGTAAAATTAAAGCATCACAATTGTAACTGAAAAAATATTATGAATATTATAAAAAAATCAACACAAACAAGAACATAAAAAATTTAAAAAAATCAAGATTGAGTAGGATTCCGAACGACCAACGAAAATACGAAATTAAAATCCTACTCTCGTGACGCAAATTCTACTTTACATTGTAAGGTGATCCATAAGTTTTAAATAATAACATTAAGAGTACAA